CGGCGATCACAACAAAGATCATCGTGAAGCTGTCGAAAAAATAGCCGAGCGTTATGTACGTGATTCAAAATTTGAAATCGTACAACTAAAAGAAACTACCCAACTGAAACATAACAGTTATGGTCTAATCAAGGTATTACTACCGCGGTAGCCGATTTTAAACCGACATATTTTGTCAATATGATATTTGGTGGATATGTAATGACCGATCATACGTATGATGAAAATGTTCAATATATTGCTGAATTACCCAGACTGGAAGAAAATGAAATCAACAAATGGGTTTCAGAACTAAATTCCAAAGCAAACCAGTCACCAAATAAATATCAACGGTTCGACGGCTCATTCCGAGATAAGATTGGTATTAATATCGTTAGAAAACAAATACAAAAACTATGGCAAACAGTAAGTACAAATTTGGTAAAATCGAAATGTTATTGTTTTTTCCAATCTCCTTCTCAAATTACAGGCATTTAGTGCAGCTTTACCGAAACTAAATTCGGTCATCAGTCAACAATTGATACTAGCAAAACAAAAATACGCTGAATTATTGAAACAATTTTCGCAACAGGATACATCAACCATACGTGAAATTTATGGAGATTATGTCAGAGAATTTGGTTCAAGTATGTGTGATTATATGGCGTACCGGTCGGAAATTGATTTTTTTTTCCCAACACCTAAAGCCGGTACTTCCTATGAAGAAATTGAACATGATTTCAAAAATGATTGGGAACGACACCATCCGCTGGAATGGAGTGCCTATTTGACGTCTCAACAGATAGAAGAAAAACAATGTGAACTAATACCAATACTCAAATTGAAACTATTAGGTGCGAGACAATTTTTACGTTTACAACAAGTTTTTTCTTATATGATATTAGCATATGAACCACGTAAATTGACACGAGATATAATTGAAATATCAGAATCACATTTGTATGGTGGAATTGATGATAATGAAAATTTAGCTAAAGCTGTTAGAGAACGCGTCCGATCAGGAATACGTGAAACATTTTTAATTGGTATTTGTTGTTTAACGCAAATGTATAGATACATATTGGATACATGTAAACAAGATATTAAACATTATTTATTACAATCACGACCACATTTAATTGACCACAGCAAATTTTTAAGTTTATTCGATTTAGAATATCATCGAATCGTTCGTCAGCTGCTGCTTGAAGCAGTACAATCAGTTAAACATGCGCGTAATATAAGTACATCATACATTGTGTGTGATATAACAGCACGTATTAAAAAGCTGGCATTTTCAATTCCAACTGAAATCAAACAACCATATTTTGAGCAGAAAATACCCGGTTTAACGAGCACGAACAATGACGAAGACGAAGTAAACGTAGCTGATATATTTAAAGCAATACCATGCCCCAAAATACTTGATT